GGCAACCTACTGTGTACACACTGAACCTGTGCACGTTTGAGTTCCATATAGAAACTACATGCTCACCAGTGACTGTGGGCATCTGTGCACATTTGTGCTGTAAAACCAAAGGAGGGTTAACACCGCCTTTAGGTTGCAAAGCAACCGAAATCTTAAATGAAGTGAAATTTTCCTCTTGTTTTGAATCTGAATACCTTTGAATATAACTGATTGAAGAAAGAGTGTCCTTTCTCATCCCGCATCAGAAAATTTATCTCGGACCCAAAACAATGTCTTACAAACTTCCCAGTTTATACCATTGATAGATATATTCACCACATTCTTGATTATCGAACAATATGTGGGTTTTCTGTTTTGGCATTCCATCAGGTTCGTCGCTAATTCTTACGGAGACATCCACAGCTGGATTGAGCTGGGCAACAAGCAGCGAGCCACGGCCGCCACAGGGATGAACGACAAGTCCAGCCGCTCCCACTCAGTCTTCACCATCGTCATGACAAAGACCAAGGTACGCAAAGAGGCTACAGATTTTGTGCTCATTCCGGTGAAAATCTATTATGTGCACTCTGGGTTTTTTCCCATTTGTACAAGTCGAAGAACACTGTCCAAAGCTACAAATATTTGAATAATTTTTTTGTGAGTTATCAGTCATATGCCTCTGAATTGGATGATTCAATATTCAGAATGTCATTATGAAGGCCGATTTACATTTTGCATGGATTTTTAGCACAGAGGTTTATTTGTTAGGGTAACAGCTAATGCTGTGATGTAAATTCAAATTTTCTTGTCACCTGATTTGCTGTGCTTTTGAATGCTCATGTCTCTGCCCAGGCCGAGATAATTGAGGGGGACGAACACACCCACAACGTGACCAGCAAGATCAACCTGGTCGACCTGGCCGGAAGCGAGAGATGCATCTCGGCTCAGACCACTGGAGACAGACTCAAGGTTGACACCCATTTACACCGAGATTGTTTCAAACTCATCCTGCACTGAAAGGGGTTACTTTTTCCTTCACTTTAATCTGCACATTTTCACAAGTGTAAAGCTAGAAATGAATGGTCTGTTGCAGGAGGGAGCCAACATCAACAAGTCTCTGCTGACTCTGGGCAAGGTCATATCGCATCTCGCCGAGAACTCTGCGCTCAGAAGGAAGAAGTTCTTCATACCCTACAGAGATAGCGTCCTCACATGGTAAGAGATCATAGTCGAAGTGAACTGAGAATTATTTGTCATACGCCGGACCTTTAGGTTTTATTGAAGTTCATGCAAGCTAGTTAAGTTTTAGAGATGACGGATTTGTGTAGCAATTCTCTTTGCTTTGTGAAGTTGAGAAGAAGTTGCGTAGTTTCAAATGAATACTTTTAGTCCGTGTACCCCAATACAATGATCCATAGTTTGGTTCTTAGAACTGAGCTCTGTGAACTTTCATGACTTGGCAAAAGGTCATAATTCCTGTAGCTTTCAGAATTCCACATGAGAGGTTGTATTGGCAACAGACGTGTTTGTTTCTTGTTTCAGAGCACAAAAGATACCATGCTCAGACTTATCCCCCTGAACTAAGCGTACATTTTTGTGGTGTTTCTCTTTATAACAATCCTCCTCTAATTTACCATATTAGCGGCGTCCCCAATTTCAGTCGTATTCCCCAACGTAGTGCATTTATTTAAGAACCTTAAATTCAAAGAACCCGACTATATTCTACGATTTCATTCCAACCTCCAAAATCACCTGGTACCATTCCATTACGGCTTTCAAATTTATACCGCACGTTCAGGAATACGATTAAAATTGGGGACACCACAAATACGGTCTATTACCCTTTTACCAAGCTTAAAATGTCAGGGTGTCTTTTGTTCAGGCTCTTGAAGGAGAGTCTCGGGGGTAACTCCAAGACGGCCATGATCGCCACTATCAGCCCCTCCAGCCTGCATGTGGAGGAAACCCTGAGTACCTTACGCTATGCCAAGCAGGCCCGCTCCATCATCAACCTGGCCAAGGTCAATGAGGACCCCAAGGCCCGACTCATCAGAGGTACTGAAGCCAGATGGTTGGGATCCTGGCTGGATTTGCAACCCATTACCGCAGAAACACAAGCGCATAGGGGGCCTGACTAATTGACTGAAGATGGTCTCAGATTTAATGGGTTGCTCTCCCGAAGGAACAAAAATTGAAAAGAAATTTACAGTAGTTCAGGACGATTTTCCTGTTTTCTTCACATGTACTGGACATTTGTTTGAAGGGGAAGGTTCTACAAATGGCTGTTCAAGGCTCCATTGTGCTCAGCAGTCAAGAGGCAAGATATCTGCTTTGATAAGCAGGCAGGTGCAACGCAGGAACTTTGTTCATGAAAGGGCAAGGCAATTTCTCCTTCATAAAGGGCACTTCAAGTACCAAATCAACTTGTCTCTGGGAACATCTTAGTGGGAATCGAGGCTTTGCCTCCATGAACTTCAGATACGGGTCTGAGTCCCACTCGAGAAAAGACCGCCATTCATTATCATGAAGTTATGTGATGCATTGTGACTTAAGTTGGAACTGATTGCATGATATGTTGCAGTTCTGCGACACATTAGTTAGGATTTCATAACATCAAATTTAGCACTCTTGTAAATGCAATCGCAATCTCGCAAGAAGTACTTGTCGACTCTCCATTTATTCATTGGCTGTCAACTCTGTTTCCCGGATGCAGAGCTGCGAGCTGAGATTGAGCGGCTGCGAGGCCAGGGCTTCACCACCCCAACTCGTGGGGCCCCCCACCAATCAGGGCAGGATGCCCAGAGAGATGCAGCGACTGACACCCACACGGAGGCCATCAAGGAATCCCTGGCCGAGATAACGGAGCTGAGGAGGAGGCTGGCCCAGTCGGAGCGGCACATGAAGGAGGCGGAGGGATCCTGGAAGGAGCGACTGGAGGAGAGCGAGAAGAGACGCATCCGAGAAATCCAAGAGATGGAGGTCGGTAATCATTTAGGCAGTGGTTGTATGTCCGTAGGTGGACCTCAGCAGATGATGAAAGGCCTGTTCATAATGATTTGAAAAGTGCATGTTTGTTGCTAAAATAGGATATGTAAGTGGGAAATATTTATTCCGTAGTTTGACTTTAGTTGTTCACTCAGGCTCTTCACAAGTTGTTTACAACTATCAGTTCAAACAAAAGTTGCAAATTTGATCACGTAAAACTAAAGGAATACATCTTCTCGACACAAAAACTACATCTTGTAAAAGAGTACCCTGTTGGATTAGAAGCTAAAGAAAGAATCATTTGCCATGGATGCCGTCCAATCTTGGCTGATCTGTTTGATGAGTGCTCTCTAATGAGCTAAGTCTTGTGCCTCATTAACCAACTCTCTTCAAATTCATACTCGTGTGAAATAAAAAAAAAGGAACGTGCATCTGGAAAAAAGAGAAACAATTCCAATCAACTGTTTATCTTTTTCAGTTTCTCCATTGCACGTTAGTTAAGAAAAGATTTTTTCACGTGTCACTCAGTTTAACATACTTTCAAGCAAAGGCACTTCCTTGTTGATTTAAATTGTGTGAGATTTATTTGAATGCCTTTTACTCAAAAGTAACTCCGGCAAATGGCAATGTTGGCTTGGTTCATGTTACTTGTACAATGTAATATCACCATTCGGCAGAAATCCGGAGTAGCCTTCAAGTTCGACAACACACTGCCCAACCTGGTCAACCTGAATGAGGACCCCCAGCTATCTGAGGTCTTACTGTATGTCCTGAGAGAGGGACAGACCAGGCTAGGGAAGACGGACGAACATTCCGGTCACCAGATACAGCTGGCTGGAGCACTGGTGGCCGATGACCACTGGTGAGTGCCATTCAGCTAAAATTATTTTGTGAGGATTTTTGAATGGTTTTGTTGGATATCTACTGATGTTGTTAGATTTTGATTGTGCAGATGGATGGAGGTTTGTCAATATCAGGCATGGCTAGCATACCAAGAAATGCCGACGCGGCATTTAAAACAAGGATTGATTTCTGTGCCAGTGTTTTAAACTTGTGATGTTCACCAAATTTTTATCTAAGGAACGTTCTAGAATAGGCTCAAATCCGCAATGAAACTTGCGTTCATTTTCCAAAGATTAGTTACATCTATAGTGTAATGGTACAAGTTAAAAACGTGTGTGACACCTTGTTACTTTTTACGAGTCTGTCATTATTACTACCCAGTTTGATCACAAACAAAGAGGGTACTTTGACGGTGAGACCTGTGGGCGATGCACAGACATTTGTCAACGGTCAACTCATCTCCAGAACACATCCACTCAAACATGTAAGTGCTGATCCCTAAAAGATGACTGTATCAGTGAATTGGTGAAAATGATTAACCAACTACAAGAAAGGTGCATGGATTTTTAATGAGAGGTTTAAATGAAATCTTATCGTTTTGCTGTATTTGTGAATAATGACGAGTACTTACAAAAATTATACACAAATTTTTTGTTGAGAGGTTTGAACTGAGTGCCTTTTCTCTTTGATTTCCCAGGGCGACAGGCTGGTGGTCGGTGATCACTACTTCCGGTTCAACCATCCTGGACAGGTCCACGACAGGTCCAAGGTTTCTGATAGCTCGGTCGGTCATGTGGATTTTGAGTTTGCCAGAAATGAACTGGTCGCAGCTCAGAGTGCCAGGTATTTCCTAGTTTCAACCCAGTCATATTTTTCTGTCTTTTAGCTTTTCTTTTCCTGCTGCAGTATATCCCGCTGTTTCCTTCAGTGTTCGGTTCTTCTCACCGTCGTCCATTATCAATCCCCAGCTGGATGAATTCCTCATCTTGGCTGTGCTACGTTTCATTACATCTCGCTTTGTTGTACCTACCAACCAACCGTGCTCGAGTACTCGCTAATTTCGTCCATCCATCTTGTGTTCTTCACCACCTTCCAATTCAGAATCTAGTGTGATTTTTTTTGTCAGCTTATGGCCTGGTTACTTTTTGTGATTTCAATCGTAGGGCTGAGTCAATTTGAATAATTCACTATTCGAATATTCGACCTTAAATTTGATTGAATATTCGGTCGTACCGACCGGCAGAGTGTTGATGAACAAACCAAATTAGTTGCAATAATGCACACAATTGTACATTATGATCAATATAATAACTTCCCTCATGTAGGGGTATCTCCAGCCATGATTTAGCAAGATTTAAGAGATGAACAACACTTCTTGCCCTGTTGAAAATGTTTATTCCTATTAAATTGTTTAATGAATAATCTACGTTTTGAATCATTGCAAGATTTCTGACGCTTTTCATTTGAATCTGCTTGAGACAAGCCTCCATATGCAATTTTTTTCATTTAAAAAGAAAAGACAATTTTCCCTTCTGATGAATTTTGCATTTGAATATTCAAATGCGAAAAATAATATTCAAATATTCGATAATCGATCGAATATTTGGTTGTTTTGTTCGGATGGCCCATTCTGTATCCCCTTCATTCTCATTATGGCTTGGGTCACAAGCAATGTACTCATCGATGTGACGTCAGTGTCCTCTGTATCGTTACTACAAATTGAAAGTAATGACGACTTTGCATAGTATCTCAGTAATAAGACCTCGCCTTGCAGGTTGGAAGCAGAAATCGAGGAGGAGAGGCTGAGGAACCACCAAGAGAAAATCGAAGGGATAAAACGGGCTCAGGTGAGATCCTCGAGCAAGTCAGGGGAGAACATATCAGCAAGTCTCTCAGTAAAGGGCCCTGGTACCCAAAGCTGCTAGGCAGAACAGAACAGCTTACAAGGGTTTTGGTCAGGTTTATAAATGTTATGTTATTTCAACAAGTGCTAAATTTTCCCCACTGATATGCGCTCACTAAGTCCTAGTAACCGAAGTTAACAGTCGGCTGAATTAACTTGAAATGATTTCTCCTCTAGGAAGCTGCACAGCTGGAACTTGACAAGCAAAAAAAGAAGTACGAATCTCAAATACAACAGCTCTGCCTGCAGTTGGTAAGACGCAGTCATTCTCTCTACGTAAAATGTAATGACAGTATTTATGTAATTTTATGTAGGTTTAAGTGTATTCTTAATTTATTGTATTTTTGATTAACTTAGTGTATTTTTAAATGTTTGTAATGCGCATTAGAACATTTCTATGGTTTCTGTGCAATGTAAATGCAAATAGGTCATTTAGGAGACATTTTGTGATAAATATTTCATCATTGGGGAGACATTGGCTTTTAGGGAGACGTGTTATTATTATTATTATTATAATTGTCACAGCATTTTAAACTTTAGATGTTTCATTCTTTGCTACCAGGAGCAGCAGCTCGAAGAAAAGGAAGGCCTTGATCAAGACCACCAGAACACCGAGAAACAGATACAGGAGCTCAAAATGGAAAACAAGGTAAACAAAGGGGAATGGGAGAATCCTCTCCCCCTCTCTACGAAAATCTGTAAAGGTCCTGGCACTGTGAGGTGACCTCAGGAGGGCCGATGGAGAATACTTTGAGTGTAATTGATTAGCGTACATGTATGCCGTGTTCTTGACATAGACCATGCCTGAATTGCTAGGCTGCAACTTGAAATTGCACACGGTTGTATGATTGCCACTTTCCATAGAGTCGGTTGGGAGTAATTTCAACTGAATGTGCACAACCATGATAGAATTGCCAAGTATGGAAGTGGAGCTTCAGTTTTTGTCCATAAACAGTAATGTTTTGTATTAATAAAAAACCTTTTAGGGTGTAGCTGTGCACAAGTTCGTGATTGGAGACTTTTGGAAATGTTCGCGCAAGGGAAGTGCTTGAAAACGAAAAGATCTCCTGGTTTTTGCTGTTGTAGGTCGTACTACCCTCTGAGAAAAATCATTTTATTAAATTATTGCTTTTAGCAATACTTTGATTAGTCTGAAGGCAATGTTTTAATTTCTTGGCTTTTTCCTCCCCCTCCCCGATTAAACTCCAAGTTCCTTTTTTCTTGACCGTTTTTTTTTTTTCACAACAGATATTGGAGAGCCAGGTGACCAGCAGCCGGCGTCGGTTAGAGATGGAGGTGCGGGCCGCCCAGCAGAACCTGGCCCAGACGGAGGCCTACCAGTCCCGCATCTTCCTGGAGCTGGAGCGGGAACGAGAGAAGGCGGAGACGGAGGCGGAGAGGGTGCGGCGGGCCCGGGAGAGGCGGCGAGAGAAGGCCGAGAGGATGGGGGCCGGAGAACTGGGTAGGCGTGGCTGAGATGGCATCTTATCTTGGGGTTTGATCCAAGATGATGCAAGAGGGAAACGAGCCTGGAGTAGTGGTAGAAAAATGTTTTGGGCAAACAGAATTTGAGGTGAATTGAAAGGCAGGACAAGATGTGGATTGAACATCTCCACATATTTATCAGTCTTCCATTGTTATGTGGTATGGCTTGAGTAGATATACTAGTCAGATGGTGTACTTAACCCTAGACCCCTGGGGACCATTGAAATCTTGCATAACCTTGTTGGGTTCAGCATGGTTAGGGTTAACGAGTATTTCACATGGTTAGCGAATCTGTGTGCCTTAGCAGCTAAATCAATTTTTTCGCTGCTCAACATTTGCTTCACACGGCATTATGGCTGACGTGCATTTTTTGGCATTCAAGCAAAACTTGTAAAAGCCTGGCAAACCTGTCAGATCTGTGACATTGCTCCTTTTTATATACAACATTCACCCTGGCATTTCTGGCCTTCGTCATCTCGTCCAGCCTCGGCGGCCAAGAGTAGGCGGAGTCTGCTACAGCTGTCCATGTGGCTGCAGGAAGCCAACAACATCAGCAGGAAGCTGGTCAAGCACACTGTGAGTACACCCACACATTTCTATCCTTGAGGGGGCTGTCCCTTTATTCTTGCGTTCAAATCGTGCCCAGTTGAGTCAGAATCCCCTTCCTGGTTGCAATGTCAACCAAATATCCCTTATATACAGTTATCTGCCAAAGTTTAAGACCAGCTGGAATTGTATTGGTATTTCTGTCACTGGGCCTGCATTACATTGTCTTATTGAATGATCACTTAACATGCTTTTACAGTGGTGCATAACATCAGTGTAGTGCTATAAACCCATGTGAATGAATGTTTTTGCAAAGGCAGGTCTTGTATGACATTTTGTCTGCAAGGCAGCATGGGAAAAAAACCCACACACAAAAAGTCTAAGTAATCAGAAATAAAGGAGGGTACACTAAATATTAGACTGTTAACATTTTAAATCATGGAAATGTAGTCAAATAGCTGTTTGACCAAGATACTAAGGTTACGCATTGGAAATAAAGATAAGTTACCATAATTGATTGGTTTAAATTTGGTTTTTCTTCAGGTTAATGCATTCTGTCTGGGTGGTCCTAAACTTTTGCATGTGACTGTAACATACTTCAACCTGCAACCAAATTTAGTACACTTTGGAAATTCCTCCTTTGGAGTAAATTCCAAATATCTTTCGCTTGAAAACCTGGTGGGGTGCTTCCTATTCGCCCGGTACCCCACAAGTCACCGTAAACATGCACACACAGCACATAATGCCCTAGTGTCAAAACAGTGACCTTCATAATGCTCACAGCCATACCTGCACCGTGTGCAAACTGATAATTGAATTTGATTGACGCTGCGCATTTGGCATCCACAAGAGTGTGTGACAAATGTTTTAGAGAAAAAAAGTGGTGTCTGCTCCGTGTATGTGGTATGTGTAAGATGTACATGGACAGGCAAGCATGTACAGCGTCATGCAGGATTGACAAGTTCGATATTTTTTCTCTGAGGAACCACGTAACCTGCTTTGATCTTCTTGAGATTTACAAAGAGAATGGGTACAAATCTTATGTGACCCACTCTGCAATAAAGGGTATTAAGTCGCTCCATGCCAAGACACGTAATGGCCTGTTCTATTTGAAGAGGGCAAAATTTCTTCAAAAATGTGGTTTTT